TATCACCAGAGTGCAGAACGGAAACATAACATAAGAAGAGCTAACACAATTTTTTAAAACATGGTACAGTTGAAGTATGAAGAGGCGGGGTAGCGCAGTCGGTATATGACTGGATACGGGCTGGACTGGTCGGAGTTAAGAGTCCCGGTGGGGGGGAAGACTTTTCACATCTCTATGTCGTCCAGACAGGGTCTGAGGCCCACACAGCCTATCCAATGGGTACCGGGGCTCTTTCCCCGGGGGTAAAGCCGCCGGGGCGTGAAGCTGATCACTCACCTAAAACTAGTGTTGAGGTCAAGAAAACATGGATCTATACATTCACTCCCCCATACGTCTTAATGGCGTAGTGCTTAATAAGTTAAGCATGGGGCAACTTTACCTTTACAGTTCAAGTATAGTAAGTCCTAGCTTAATGCTGCTCCAATTAACGTTTCTTTATTACTCTTATAATATTTTCATACCAAGGCTCCATGCAACGTCGTGTTAACTCGCTATTAAGTCATTTCTCACAGAATTTAAGTGAGTGGTCCAAGAAGAGGGTTACTCGCCCAAACAAGAGTTTAATGTTGTCGAGACCGGGCCGTCATCCACCACTCGCTGCTTTACCTTTGGCCATCAGTGAATGTCATGTCACACTAAGTGCTAAACATACGGTACTATAGTTTGTAATTGCACGTATTTACAGTCGATTATATGTTCTCTGGACTGCAGTGCACATTATGGGAGTACAGCCACCTGCTCACGCTGGTATCTCGCTCGAGAATTTCTTATAACCTGAAGATGGAGGCAATACGTTCCTCCGAAACATCGGTTAACACAATATCTACACGGCGCCACATCCCAGAAGACGACATTTTTCATAGCCACCGCCTTAAAAACCTCAAATCGTACATAGGGAATAAGTGTGTTAACTGCATTCACTGCCTCAGGATAAGGAACAGTATGGGTTTCTTGGGATGATGTTAATATACCTTCTGATTTAGCAAAAAATGAGGGTAATTCTTGACAAATTCGGCGACTATCAGCTTTTCAATTAAGACCCTGCCCCATCTAATTTGTTAGGCAGTCAGGTAGGTAACGTCATAACAATGTGCGAAATGGAATTACTCGCAGAGTGGATAATTTTAAGTCCAGTGTGACGTAAAAGTTTACAACACTTCAGTCTTTTTCACCTTACATGTTTCGATTCTTTTGACTGAAAATTATCCACTCTGTAATTAGTAGTGTGACGGACCAAAATGAGACAAATGGAATTACTCGTATCAATGCTTCTTCCTCTCTTATGTCACTGAGTTCTCTTCTGTCTCTTAGAGGCAATGCCATAGAGGTTCACATTGTCACGTGATGGCGTGACCATATACGGGGTTTGGAATGGTAACTGGATTTACTGAACTCTTACAGATCCGTGACTAGAAGTAACTATGAACATTTCACTAATTCACACATTTTGGAAATTACTGAAGCACACACTGAAGTCTTCTCAACCTGCTGTGTCTTCACCAGTCTTCGGGTAACAGCTTTCAACGGTGGACGTTCCCTTTCCTCCGGGTACCCGAACTGTCCCTGGCCTCGACTACAGCAACTCTAGACTGTCTCTAAACCTGTCCTGCTTATAACATCTCGGCACGGACCGCGTATAAAACACCGCTTCCCATTATTTCTTATATCAAACTGTTGTCGTGAAAATATGCTTCTCTGTGAATCCGTTACTGAGTAACGGTCGTTACTCGGTAACGGCTGTCTCTGCTGGCTTCACATTTCTTGCCTTCAACAAATATGCCACAATATGTAATGAACATATCAATAATACCGGGAATTGTTCCAATGTAAAGAATCTATTTGTAGAGGATAACACAGGAAAACGTGTCACATATCGGTATACCAAGCGGAACTGGGATCCGTGGCAATGCTGTTTGAGAGGCTCCAAGATTTTCCGCCAATGACGGCCACAGGAACAGGAATCCGCGTTGTTTAGCCCTTCAGTCCTCTTCTTGGGTTTCCTTCCTTTCGTACGTTCGTCGTCCTCCTATCCCAACCCCATCATTCCAGACACATTCCCCCCAAATCCGCCCTTCCATCGCTTTATAAATTCCTGGCAACCAAAACATTTATTGGTCTTCCTTCCTACCATATTTTCTACTTAGTAGTTTTACTTCCAGGTCACGCGGTAGCTCAGTTGGCTGAGGCACTACGCTACAAGCCGGAAGGTCACGGGTTATATTCCCAATGTCATCAGATTTTTCAATTCACCTAATCCTTCCAACCGCACTACGGCCCTGGGGTCGACTCAAGCCCCTAACAGAAATTAGTACCAGGAATCTTCCTGGGGGCAATGGGCGGTTGGCCGGTGTGTAAGGCTGACAATCTCACCGCCATCTGTGAACAGATTTTCTAGAAAAATGTGAGAGCCTCGAAGTATCATAACTCTATGGGCCTCCATGGCCTGTTACAGGAAGAGCTTTACCTTTTTACTTCCATTTTTCTGTTTCATTTCGCACCAAATTCCAAAACGTCGGCCATAAACATTTTTTTAAGCTCTCAGTTCTTACACGAGGCAGAACACAATATACAGCGAGTTTCCCAATGTGAGTGCGCGCTCAGGCGGAAGAGTCGGACGCTGTTCTTATCAAGTCGGGCTGACCCATAACGCGTAAGTTCGCTTTATGGGTAAGCTGCCCAGAAAAATCCAGACGAAGACGAATAACAACACAAAACACAAGACCTGAAGCATTCACAAAGGTCAAGGTTAATTAATTAAATACCACGTCATGAAGATGTTCATAATATTTTTGCCGTCAAAACCTATCCTAAAACAGTTGTCTTCAAACTAATATTGTGATGTATACACCCATTGCTCCCACCCACAGGTGTCTCCACCTTGTCGTGGTGGTGGAGCTTGCGTGACTTTGATCTGGAAAGCTATGCCGGCGGTAGTTTAACTACCGGTAGGATCACCCATGCCGGAAATGTCAGAGGGTAGAGTCCAGACTAAGAGAGATATCCTGGTCCTCCAGGTTGGGAGTTGGGCATGAGGCTGACAACCTCATCCTGTAAAAAGAATTTTGTTCAGAAACCTAATAACCAGCCTCGGGTCACCATGGGTGGATCCATTCCTATGGCAGCACACACTGGGTGTGGAGACTGGTTGTAGAAGAGGGAAAGGCTCATCCAGGGCTGTAGAGCCGAATGCTAGGTAGGTACACCCATTGCTAGGCAACGACGCGGTAAACACGCCTCGTCAAAAATACAGGCTGTATTTTCTGCGTGGTCCATGAAAAGTTATAAGAAGTGTTCGGCAGTACAGAAGAGTAGAGAAATAGTCGAGGAATGAAGTCGAGTTTCGAGACGCCAGCCTGCCGGGGTATGAGCTTGGGAGCAGAGAAATTGAGTTGAGTCGAGCCTTCGGAATTGGCAGCTGCAGAATAATGGAAAGAAAGGGATTAAGTGGTACAAAAAAGACTTCTTGTGTGATTTTAAGTACCAGTGAGACAGTTAAAAATCCGTTGCCAGGATAAGACTAATGAAGGTTTGAGAACCCTAGTGCGTATGCAACGGTGAACTGGAAAGTGTGTAGATCAGCTACAGCCCTGTAATTACCTGTAGTCTCGAACTGTGTGAATGTGTAAGGTGCAATAAATCGAATCATCCAATCCAAACGCTGTCTTATAAGTTACCCCTAGAGGTGACAATATTCTTTAATGTCCTATTTAATATTATCCTCCCATCTACATCTGAATCCTCACAGAAGCTCTTTCCCTGAAGTTTCAGACAAAAAAATAGATATGAAATTTTAATTATGACTTCCACCGTGAAGAATTGGGCTAGAAATCGTCCGAAACGTCGACAGTACTTGTATTTCTGGACAAGGTAGGATATCTAAAATACGATGTCGCAAATACTTATAAATATGAAATCCTCAAATGTCGTGTACGAAGAAAAGTTATTGATTTTTAATATTAACTGCCCCTCTGTACAGGACGGAGCATTCAGACGACAGCTCTACCGGTGCATCTTGCCAGAATTTCTCATATAGAGGCTGAACAGGGCGAAGTACAACCACGGAGAATGTAATTAGAGAGAAGGATGAAAACGTTGGCTTTCCTACTGCGGGATAATATGCTCTTGTAGTCCGTATATAAGACGCAAAATGGATGTGAGCCATTCGCACTCTTTACGAATGTGTCACGCGTATATACACGAGAGGAAGCAGGGAGCCAACCGTGAGGATGACCTGCAGGAAAGCTTAACACGGATGCACTTGTAAGCATTCCATCCCTCCTTGTTAGGATTTGTTACCGGGTTTGCTATAGACTATTCTACAAGCAGCCTCCGAGGTACTGACGCTTTGAATCCCTTAAGAAAATTGTCCGTGCTTAACTAATTAAGCACTGTGTCATGAAGACATATGGGAAAGTGGAGGTTTAGCTCAACCTTTCTTGACCTCGGCATTAGATGGAGCTGAATGGTCAGCTTCACATCCCGGCCGCTTTACCCCCAGCGAAATGGCCAATGGATAGGGGTCTGGGTGAGCTCGACATTCGTTCTGGATGCAGTGGAGAAGGGAGTAATCTTGAATTTGCCGGGAATCCAATCCCGGCCGTCCAGCCCGTAGCTCGTCTCTATACCGAACGAACTATCCCAACTCCCACGTTTTTTTTTATTCGCTTAGTGGGGGTTGGGGTCCAGCTGGATCCACTCGGCACGGCGGCCACTGATTGGCCTATTGTACCTGTCCTGGGTGATTATGATGATGGAGAATTTGGTGGAATGAAGATTGGCAGGGGAAACCGAAGTACTCGGAGAAAACATGCTCCAGCGCCACATTGTCCACCGCAAATCCCACTTGACCGAACACGGGCCGCCGCGGTGGGAAGCGAGCGACTAACCGCTTAAGCTATAGCGCGGCCTTCGACTCGCATGTTACGGGTCGACAGACAGGAAAATACGTGACCGGATGCTTTATATGATATTCTTCAGTACATATTTCTTTTATATTTCAGCGTGCAGACAGATGCAGTTCGGCATCCAGGCATTCTTCGGGCCATCGGACCCGCTGTTGGGGGCGCACATTCAGTCCATCTGTGAGGCTCTGGATATACCTCACGTAGAGGCGCGGATAGATTTCGAACCGACCTTCAAAGAATTCTCCATCAACCTACATCCGTCCCAGGAACACATGAACCACGCATTCAGAGATGTCATGGCCTTTCTGAATTGGACGAAGGTTGCCATAATCTACGAGGAAGATTACGGTAAGATGTGTTCTGCCTCTAAACATTCAGAATGAATTAACTCTTTCTACGATCAGGCTCCTTTTCTTCAGATTCTTACGGTAACTTATTAAAAGAGCCGGGATTACACAGTCGGTATAGCGACTGGCTACGGGCTGGACGACGGAGGAGTCGGAGTTCGAGTCCCGGTTGGAACAAGAATTTTCTCTTCATGTCGTCCAGACCAACTCTGGGGTCTACCTAACCTCCCATCCAATACGCACCGGGGACTCTTTCCCCGGGAGTAAAGCGGCCGGGGCGTGAAGCTGACAACTCACCTCCAGCTAGTGCCAAGGTCAAGAAAATGTGGATTTATACATCCACTACCCCATACGCCTTCATGGCGTACTGCTTAATTAGTTACGGACAAGGACAACTTTACCTTTATGGTAACTAATAAATCGAATTCGCATCCGGGAATAGCGCAGTCGGTAGAGTGGCTGGACGGGCTGGACGACAGAGGGGTCGAAGTTCAAGTCCCGGTAGGGTCAAGGATTTTCTGTTCTCTAAGCCTTCCAGACCAGCTCTGAGGCCCACCCAGCCTCCTATTCAATGGGTACCGGGAGTTCTTTCCCCGGGGGTAAAGCGGCAGGGACGTGAAGCTGGCCACTCAACTCCAGCTAGTGCCCAGGTCAAGAAAATGTGGATCTATACATCCACTCCCATATATGCCTTCATGACATAGTGCTTAATTAGTTAAGCACAGGGACAACTTAACTATAAATCGAATTCTTAGAATGCTATATATTGTGACATAGCGGCTAAAAAGTTGAGTTGAATTTGAGTCAGTTTTGAGCTGGTGACCAGCAGGAAACAACGTAGGCATAGATTCCGAAGAATCTCCATTGTGGGAAACCGTTACAAAGCAACGACATGTGAAGGCTATAGCAGACTGAGACTCAGAGTGTGCTGTAGTGATTTTTACTCCTACAGCATGTACTAGATTAACGACAGCGTTATAATGATTTGTAGTTACGCGTTTTAAGAGCCCAATTAATCAAAACAGCGTTCCTAGTCACCAACACGTGACAATATAGTTCGCTTGAAGTGTTACGGGATGGCAGGTCAGATATATTTCCTCTGATAATGTCACATAATTAACATTTCCAGAAAATAATGTCCGGTGTTAAAGCGATACATATCTTCCGAAGAAAAAACTGACATGTGCACACCTACGAACCGGAAGCTGAGGAACAGGACACTGGGTTTTGATTCACGGAACAGGCATTTTTCTCTCTGCCAAAACTTGGATATTTACTTTGGAGTGCAGCCCGCGATTCAGTAATCCCCACGTCACCTTTATTCCTGGGGTCAAAAAGGGTCCAGGTGTGACGCTAATCACCACCATAAGACGTTATGAATTGCCAGAATACCTCCGGATTGGGCTAATTTTGATCGAAGGACGGACATGTTCTTACGAGTAGGGAAACGAAAGCTCGGTGACGTCACAAGAAGGCGTTCCATAATCAGTTGAATAAGAATAGATGGCTGAAGGAAGGCAGTGTGCCTTGCGGTTAAGTATGATGGGTATTATTAGGGCTGTAGTCGAGCTAGAGAGGTCCAGAGCGGCGCCCTAGGGCTTTCTCGAGTACCAGAAGTCACTCCGGCATTTTTTTCAGAGACACTGTCATGAAACATAAATTCTTATTGTTTGTTTAATGTCGAACCACTGACGTGGAAGCATGTGAGTTTCATGACCTGATCTTCATTCAGTTCCGTACTCACACCTGTCATCAGGTGAAGAGAATGGTTTCAGTTCATAATTTATAATAATTTCTTTCAACATGAAACAGCGTCGGATAGTTCCTATGTTTTTATTTTTAGGGCTACATCCCTTAACATACAGGAGCCGGGATATCGCACCCGGTATAGCTAGACGGTCGGTGTTCGATTCCTGAGAGGGGAAAGATTCTTGTCTTCTCCACAGCGTCCAGACAAATTCTGGGGACCACCTATCCTTCTATCCAGTTGGTATGGGGGGTGAATTCCTCGAGGATAAAGCGACGGGGGCGTGAAGCTGACCACTCACCTCAATCTACTGCCGAGGTCAAGAATGGCGGAGCTGTTACTACACTTCCCCATATGCCTTCATGGCGTAGTTAAGATCTAAATATGTGCTGGTACCATAAAAAGTATTGCTTCTCTCCAGCGATGATTTCAATCGAGATATTTCTCTGGTGCAAGGCCTCATACGTGTGGAGTTTCAATAATTGAATATTTTCTTAGCTCTCGCAGATAGTCTGCGTTGTGTTTGATTTATGTACCCTTTCTTGAAACTGGCATAGGTGTCCGGAGATAGGGACTAGTCTATCGATTGGGCGCGACTGAGGTTTTATCTGACCACGGAGAGAGAATCCAGTATCCGAAACGTTGTTTTGAAAAATAAACAGGACAGATTTTAGATAGAGACAAGATGATGGCTAATGTACAAAAATTTAATATTTGTAGTGCCTGATTAAATAAGCACTTGGACAATTATACCTTTCTTTACTCCTATATACGCTTGTCTTCGAAGAGACCTGTACTTATCAGTATCAATACTTCTGAACATAAAAAAGGCTGAAATTTTGCAGGAGGTTATGTCTGGAAGCATTTGCTAGAGATGCAGGAGGCGCCCTGGAGCTAAATGAGGGTAGGTTTTCAGCACCGATTCAAACGAAGACGGTGGGTGAGTTAACAGTCTGCGTTATAGACGCCCTCTCTCAAGACTGCCAACGTCATGTTACAAAGCGGGCACCTAAAATTTATTTAATGCAATAACGTGGGAGTATAACTCATCCCCCATGGGGGGGACTATGCATGTGAGCTTGGGTGACACCAGTAACCCAATAAAGGCAGGTTAAATCAGACACTACATAGCCTCCCCCCGCCCCGCTCACTCTGCTCTACCTGACCCGGCCTCGTTCTGCCCGATTTCAGTTCTACACAGTGTTCTTCTAACACTGCCTAATCTCATATCCTGATTTCTCAGTTAATTAATGAGTTTGTTGATGAATCATTTCAAACTGAACTTAAATAGTATCGAATAGCATGACTGTGAACGATGATGTGAGAATGTAGAATGAAGCGGCCGTGGCCTATTAAGATAATATGCAAGAATTTCCCTAGAGAAGAAGGGCTAAGATCAGAAGCTGAGATTCAGTGGCGGTTCTCCTAGCCTTTCTTGGGGGCTACAGTCAAGTTATGGACGCGCTCTGGAAGCAGGTGTTCAAAAACATAGGAACGTGTCTCCTAGATACTGCAGATTTGTGTAACGCAATTTCTAAGATACACCACTTTTCATTTAAATGAACAGTAGTGTGCAACTTCTCTCTTAGCCTAAAAGTCCTATGCTCCTCTCAAAGGCATTTCATCATTCTTGCGACCATCTTCGGTCGGTTTTCCTCATTTATTTTTTAAGAATTTCGGTTCCCGAATCCGACGCATTCAGCTTGCCCAATGAGGTCCTAAAAAACTCCGTGGCTTTAGACCTCGAGCGAATTATACAGACCGAGGTACCGCAGTTTTCGGCGAAGTGAGTGCCAACTTTAGCGGATAGAAGTTGTCGCGTAGTCAGCGAAACCAATCTCCACGGCCGTTAATTCGGTTTTCTAGACCGGAGCCGCTACTTTTTCATTCAAGTGGCTCCTCAATTATCTTCACAAGGCTGAGTGGACCCCGTTCCAGACCCACTACTTCTCAGAAAATCTGGTAGCCCCGGGAATCGAACCCAGGACCTCTGGGTCTGTAGCCAGGAACTCTCACCACTAGACCACAGGGGCGGTCAAATAGATCCTAAACCATTTTAAAATCGAGAATAACGTCACGATATGGGGGTTTTCGCGTGACTTATAAGACGGGTTTTAGATTGGATGATTGGACTTATTGCACCCTACACATTCACAACTCGGGACTACAGGTAATACAGAGCTATAGCTGATCTACACACTTTACAGTCTACCGTTACGCACACTATAGGGTTCTCAATCTTCACTAGTTGTATCCTGGCAACTGATTTATAATAGTCTCACTGTAACCTCAAATCACACATGAAGTCTTCGTGTCACAGTCTAATCCATTTCTTGCCAGTTCTTCTCAGTCTATCACCTCCAGAATTCGACCTATTTCTTGACTACAAATCAAATGAAATCTTCTTGAACTGAACTCTCTCAACTTCTGATAACGACTGACTGCTCCCTTGGAACTTCTCATTATATAGCCTCGGGGTGGACCTCACGGAAAACACAGTCTTCTACTGTCCCGTATTATTTAGGTGTGTTCACTGACCCGTTGTCTAGCAACAGACGTCATGCTGTTGCGCGCGTACGCTTCCGCCTCAATGTTTACCGAGTCGTTGCCTAGCAATGGGTATATACGTCACAATATTTACGGGTTTCCATGTAATTTTTTCATATTTCTGAAAATGCTGTTACTAGGTGCAACACTAATGAAATTGCACAGAACCCCACCCCCAAAGAAAAGAAAGAAAAGGAAAGTGATGTATCACCGTGTAATTCCCTACTCGTATGTTTCAGCTAACCTCAACAGATGGTATCCCTTCAGAAATGGTAATATATTGTCTATGAACTAAAAAAGTAGCTATAAGGTGAAATAATGAATCAAAACTTGTGAATGTTTTTTTGCAAAATTCATTGAGAAATGAACATCAATTCATTATCTAAAAAAATATTCTTCCTTGATATTTGATTAGGCAGCTACAAAACCATCTTCTGAAGAGTCATCTCTGGTGGAATAACAGCGACATATGGATATGGTTGCCGTTTGTGACATCAGTAATACTTGTACATGTGCTAAAACGCAGGAGGTCAGCACGGTTTTGCGAACACACATCTGTTTTCAAAAGCTGAAACACATCCTGGCTTATGTCAATATGTAATTACATAATATTTCTTTTCTGGTTATGAACGTACGTATATGATGCTAATATCCAGCAGAAACGTAATTATTTCCATGTATAATCCGGTACCTTTATTTTCAAGTCC